CTTATTATTCCTGTTCTTCGCAGTATTATTCGCATTCTCATTGTTAGAAGAAGCAGAGGAGGAGGAGGAGGAAGAGGCAGAGGGAACCCTCCTCCTCCTCCTCCTCCTCCTCGTCATTGTCCTCCTCCTCCTCCTCCGCCTCTGCTTCTTCCTCTTGTTCTTCGTATGAGTATTATTATCATTATTCGTGATGGTTTTCTTCTTCGCATTATTGTTCAAGTTCTGAGTTCTGATTCGCATTATTGTCCGTAGTCTTATGAGTTCTTATTAGCATTATTATTCGTCTTACTCTCGTTAGTAGTCTTATTCGGCTTCGTTTTCGTATTCGTCTTCTTCCCCGCATTGTCCTTGGTATTCAAATTCGTCTTCGCATTCGTCTCAGTATTGTTCTTATTCGTCATGTTTGTGGTATTACTATTATCTTAAGTCGGAGGTGAGGGGTTGAGATCGAAGAAGAACGGAGAGCCCCCCTACCGGGAAATCGGTTTCGGTTTCGTGTTCGCGCGTGCCGTGCGTGCGGGCGAGGCGAAGCTGCGTGAGCGGGCGAGAAGAAAGTCTCCTCCGGCTGAGGCGCGGCCGGACCAAATGATTCCTGACCGGGGTCACGAGGCGCGCGGTGTCCCGCCGGTGTCCCGCCTCCGGCTGAGGCGCGGCCGGACCAAATGATTCCTGACCGGGGGCCGGTGGCGCGCGGTGTCCCGCCGGTGTCCCGCCTCCGGCTGAGGCGCGGCCGGACCGAATGATTCCTGAACGGGGGCCAGTGGCGCGCTGTGACCCAGTGTCCCCGGTGTCCCGCCGATGATGTGACCCGTCGGTGTCCCGATGATGATGATGATGATGATGATGATGATGATGATGATGATGATGATGATGATGATGATGATGTTGATGATGATGATGATGATGATGATGATGATGATGATGATGAAGATGATGATGACGCTGATGATGAAGATGATGATGATGATGATGATGATGGTGTCCCGATGATGGTGATGATGATGAGGTTGATAATGATGCTGCTGATGATGATGACGCTGATGATGATTATAGTGTCCCGATGATGATGATGCTGATGATGATGATGACGATGATGGTGTCCCGATGATGATGATGTTGATGATGAGGTGATGATGATGATGATGATGATGATTTTGATGATGGTGACCCGATTATGGTGATGATGATGGTGTCCCGATGTTGATGATGATGATGATGATGGTGACGATGATGATGGTGACGATGATGATGGTGCCCCGATGATGATGATGTTGATGATGATGTTGCTGATGATGATGGTGTCCCGATGTTGATGATGATGTTGATGATGATGTTGTTCATGATGATGATGATGGTGTTCCGATGATGATGGTGATGATGACGATGATGATGATGATGATGATGATGGTGATGGTGTCCCGATGATGATGATGATGATGATGATGATGATGATGATGATGATGATGATGATGATGGTGACGATGATGGTGACTCGAAAATGGTGATAATGATGGTGATGATGGTGATGTTGATGATGGTGATGATGATGATGATGGTGTCCCGATGATGATGATGATGATGATGATGATGATGATGATGATGATGATGTTGATGATGTTGATGACCATAATGCTGATGATGATGATGATGATGACGTTGATTGTGAGATCGATTGTGATATCGATAGTGAGATCGAACGTGAGACCGAATGTGAGATCGATTGTCAGATCGATAGTGAGATCGATTGTGAGATCGATAGTCAGATCGATTGTGAGATCGATCGAATGAAATAGATGGAGGGAGATCGATTGTGAGATCGATCGAGTGAGATCGATCGAGCGAGACCGATACTGAGATCGGTTGTGAGACCGATCGAGTGAGACGTTGGTTCCTCCCCCCCCCCGAACCTCCTTATCACCCGAAGGGTGGTCGCACAGGTATTGTTGTTCATATGCTTACTCTTATTGTTCGTATTCGTCTTCGTTTTCCTCCCCCCCTCCGCCTCCACCTCCGCCGCCGCCTCCGCCTCCGCCTCCGCTTCCGCCTCCTCCTCTTCCTCCTCCTTGTCCTCGTCCTCGTCCTCGTCCTCCTCTTCACCCTCCTCCTCCCTCTCCTCCTCCTCCTCCTCCTCCTCCTCCTCCTCCTCCTCCACCTCCTCCTTCTCCTCCTCCTCTATGTTTTTATTTCTACATAAACTCTCCCTGTCGCACTCCGAGGCCAGTTGTTAGGGCGGGCCGGGCGGTTCGCCCGAGACTTCCTCACCATTTATGACAGCGAAGCTTAACATTAGCCTGGCGAAGGACCGAACCATATGCAGTTGTGCGTACCGCAATTGTGCATATCTTCTTCGGTGGCGCTCCCTACGGGGCCACGAACCCAGTGAGGGGTGTGCCGAAATTGGTGCGGCGGACGCATGTGGACGGTGGCACTGGGGCCTTCGGTGGAGCTCCCTATGGGGCCACGAAACATGTGAGGGGTGTGCCGAAATGGGCGTGGGGGACGCATGCGGACCGTGGCACTGGAGCCTTTGGTGGAGTTCCCTATGCGGTGGCGAAACGTATGATGGGTGTGCCGAAATGGGTGTGGAGGACGCTTGTGGACGGTGGCACTGGGGCCTTCGGTCGAGCGTCTTATGGGGCCACGAAACGTGTGAGGGGTGTGCCGGAATGGGTGTGGAGGACGCATGTGGACGGTGGCACTGGGGCCTTCGGTGGAGCGTCCTATGGGGCCATGAAACGTGTGAGGGGTGTGCCGAAAGTGGTGCGGGGGACGCATGTGGACGGCGGCGCTGGGGCCTTCGGAGGAGATCCCTATGGGGCCACGAAACGTGTGAGGGGTGGACCGAAGTGGGCGCGGGGGGCGCAGGTGGACGGGCTGCCGCTCGAGAGCAGGTGGGTGCCAGGGGGACCGTCTTTGAAACACAAGGGCGCCCCGGAGACCCTGAGAGCATCCTGCTTACTCGTAGGAGTGTTCGGGTTGAAGCGTTGGATATCCCACCGATCGAGTGCGCCCCTGCGGCTGAAGTTCTCAACGGAGACGGAAGGCCATGCCAGAACTTGACCCCGAGCAGGGCGTGCAGCATGCTGGCCAAGCTTCTCAGCTCAGTCTCGCAGTTGACGGGAGTGCTACCAAATCAGTGCCTCACTGTTCCAGCGTGCGTCATATGCCGTCGCTTTGTTTGTTCCCGAGTCGCGGGGGGCCCCAGTGCGGCGCGCAACCCCAGGAGGATGCCCCAAGACCGCAGCTATGGCTGAAAACGTTGCGTGTTGCAGTTGCTAGCCAGATCGCTGATCGAGCATCGACGGCGCGCGCAGAGTCTAATGGCTGCCGCTGCTCAGCCCCCCCCCCCCGCAGCATATACAGCTTCGTGCGCTGAAGCCGCACGCGGGGGCGTCGGCCTTTGTTCGCTCGCTCGACGGCTACCTGCACACCGAGGACATCCAGCACGTCAAGGCTCGTCGGAGTCTAGAAACGATAGACCCTCGATCCTCGACCCTCGATCCTCGACCCTCGATCCTCGACCCTCGATCCTCGACCCTCGATCCTTCGATCCTCGTCCTTCGAGCCTCGAGCCTCGAGCCTCGAGCCTCGATCCTCGTGAGGAGCGGCCCTCAGCGCGAGGCAGCCGCGCTGCCGACTGCCATGCTGAGGCGGCCTCGACATCACATGCCGAGATGGGGCCCGAGGCGGCCAGTCGTCGTAAGGCCGAGGTGCAAGCAGCAGCGAACTCTGCGAAGACAGCGACGGCAGCGTCGCCCTGCTGCTCACCTTTCTGTTAAACGAGTGCCGGGATGGCACGAGTGGCAAGTCGGCCCCTGGGCCCACGATGTATGAAGGGGCCTAGGGACACACGCACACACAACATGAGCACAAATCCCAAGATCCCCGATGCTTGTCCATCTGTTCTGAACGTTCGTCCCCCCCTCCACTCCCCAGATCTTCCCCTACTTTCTGGGGCACCGACGATCCATTGCGTCTGATTGTCTCTTCCCTCGCGCATGGCAGATCTGTGAATGCCGCTGCTTCGTTGAGGCCCGTGGCCGAGAACCATGCCCTCGGACGCCCAGGGGGGCTCCCTCCGTCCTCGCCGAGGGCGTCCGTCGCCCCGGGGGACACGTCCTCGTCGCTGCCCGGACCCGTGGGCTCGTTCCCGGGGGCGACGGCTCGAACCCGGGCCGAGAGGCCCCCGTTGCAGCTTCTGCGCGCGCTGCGGGTGCCGGGCTCAGTGGCGCGCTCGGAAGCCCAGTCGCATCCGCGGGGGGCCCTCGCGGGAAGGCGCCGAAGGGCCTCAGAAATACCGCCGCGGGACGGGCCCGCGCAATCGCGCCAGGCAAACTTGTCGAAAGCTCGTCGGCGTTCAAAGACCTGGCGATCGCCCCGTCGCCATAGCCAGCGGCGCGAACGTCAGCGCCGACTGCAGCGGCGCCCAGCTCCAGCGTTGCTCACGAGCAGCGACTAGCTGCCCTCGAGGAGCACGCATTCGCCTCCGAGGGGAGCGGGGCCGGCGAGGCCCGACGTTCAAAAAGGCTCCGATAGCCACTGCGCCCTGCCGTTTTGCAGCGGCTTGCGAGAACTCTCCCCTAGCGGCGGTTCCATCCATCCATCCATCCATCCGTCCATCCATCCACCCATCTATCCATCCATCCATCCCTCCTCCTCCTCCTCCTTCTCCTCCTCCGCCTCCTCCTCCTCCGCCTCCGCCTCCGCCTCCGCCTCCTCCGCCTCCTCCGCCTCCTCCTCCTCCTCCTCCTCCTACAATTCCTCATCCCCCTCCTCCTCTTCCTCCGCCTTCTCCGCCTCCTCCTCCTCCTCCTCCTCCTCCTCATCCTCCTCCTCCTATTCTCCTCCTCCTCCTCCTCCTCCTCCTCCTCCTCTCCTCCTCCCACTCCTCCTCCTCCTCTAATTCCTCATCCCCCTCCTCCTCTTCCTCCTCCTCCTCCTCCTCCTCCTCCTCCTCCGCCTCCTCCTCTGGATGGGAGGATGGAGGGGGCGGCGCACTCTCAGATGCCGCCCGCAGCCGTGCCGGGCGCGTTGCCCATGACCTGGAGGCGGCGCCACTGCCGTCGCCGGCCGTCGCTGCTGGTCGCCCACTGCCAGCGGCCGCTGGACTTCGGAGGTCGAGGGGAAGGAGGAGCTTCGAGGGCGAAGAGGGATACTTTTATGTGTCTCTTGACCTTTGTGGGATCCTCTTCCTCCTCCTCCTCCTCCTCCTCCTCCTCCTCCTCCTCCTCCTCCTCCTCCTCCTCCTTCTCCTCCTCCCCCCCCCTCGTCGTCCTCCTCCTCCAGGAGACGGGGGGCAGTGGACTTCCCCCACCGCTGGCGGATGCTGCTCATCCTATCTGTATTCGCCATTACTACATACTTCCTCTGCGCAACCTAGCCGGCCGAGAGCGACACCATCGAAGGATCAATTCTGCCAATCAGATGACAATAGAAACTTTCTTCCTCACATTAAGAGCATCTTGCCGTCGACGATGCAAAATGCCTGGCAGGAATGGGACGTGGCACACATCGCGCGCGGCTGAGCAAAATGTTGTTCTCGCCCCAACGCCGCGCTCATTTTTCCTGTCAATGGAGCTCCCCAGTGGGCGCAGCGCGCAGTTTGTTCGCCGAATCGTCGGAAGCGAGGGCGCGCCCAAGAGAGCGAAATGCTGCCCTCGCCCAAGCGCCGCGCAGGCTTTTCTAAGCGCCAGGCGAGCTTCTCTTGAAATCGCCGATACGCATGATTCCCGATATCAGATCCTGTTGCAAGCTGGGCCGCGCGCCAACTGAATGTTGATTGCGATTCAGCCAAAATAAACTGCGAAGCTGCGTTCCAGTTCGCGCGTGACGCAAGTTGTTCTTTCGCCAAGTTCTCGGAAGCGGGGTCGCGCGCGCGAGTGTCTCCCACTCGCTCGTGGAAGCGCGCCAGTCCCGTGCCGACAGACTCGTTCGAGCTGTCTTCCCTGATTCCTATATTACTCCGCATCCTCAAATTCCTTGCCCCTGCTTTTTCCTCATCCTCATCCTCCTTCGCGCCCCCCCCCTCTCATCGTCGTCGTCGAAATCCTCCTGATGCGTTGCATTTGCCCCACCATAGAATCCGAAGACCCGTATCGGTCGATCCTTACCCTCCCACTTATTGTCCTGCTCACTTTCCTCCTCCTCCTCCTCCTCCTCCTCGTTCTCATCATCCCCCCTCCTCCTCCCCCCCCCCTCCGCTTCCTCCTCCTCCTCCTCCTCCTCCTCCTCCTCCTCCTCTTCCTCTTCCTCCTCCTCCTCCCCTCCTCCTCCTCCGCCATAATGTCTTGCTCTGGGGCACCCCTCCTCATCTTGCTCCTCCTCCCCCCCCCCACCCCCTCCTCCCCCTCCTCCTCCTCCTCCTCCTCCTCCTTCTCCTCCTCCTCCTTCTCCTCCTCCTCCATGGTCTGTTCTGAGGCACCCCTCCCTATCGCGCCACCAGACGAGCCAGTCGGGCGGCCCAGCCGCTCCGCCCGAGATTTCGCCATCACTTTCGATCCAGAAGCTCGAAAATTGCCAACAGGTCCAGTCCAGCTCTCGCCTCAGCGCCGCGCGCATTCGTCTTGCAAGCTTCCAGCGGCCACCCGCACGGAGAACGGCTCCCTTCGGTGGTGCATCCCTGGTTCACTCTCATCCTCCCACGCGTATGTGCCTTCTCCTCCTCCTCCTCCTCCTCCTCCTCCTCCTTCTCCTCCTCCTCCTCCTCCTCTTCGCCATCCCCCTCCTTGCCGTCGCCCACCCCGCCCTGGCCAAGCTGTCCCTTGCGTCCCTCCGCCCGGCCTCCCGCTTCTCGCGTCCATCCTGCTCCTCACCCTCCCCCCACCCCCCCACCCCCAACATCCGCTGTTCAAGTCCGACGCGGTCCTGACCCATTCCCGCATCCGCGTTCTCTCCCTCGTCCCGCTGCTCCTGCTGCTCACGATGCCGTTCCTGTTCCTGCCCCTCCTCGCCCTCATCCTCCCCCTCCCCATTGTTGCCCCACCTCGTCATCATTATCGCCCTGCTCGCCCGCCTCCGTTTCATCTTCCTCGTCGCCCTCCAAGGCTTTCCCCGTCGCCCCCCTCCACGGCGCCCCCCCCCATCCTCCGCTTCCCGCCCTCCTCGTAGTAGTTTTATTATCGGTATTGGTATTAGTCGCATTAGCAGCGTTATCACTATGTCTTGTTTAGTGTTGTGAGTAGTACTAGGACTCTTCTTACGAACAGTATTACTAATAATATTCCTAAGGTTGTTATTGCTAATCCAGTCGCTTTATTTTGATTAGCCGTCGTGTTCCCCATTTCCAAAGGATGGGTTCTTGTTGTTCCCCACATGCTTAGTGGAGTTAGGGAGTTCTTCCGTCCCGCGTCGCACCCGCGCCTCCTCCTCCTCACCCCTCCTCCTCCTTCTCCTTCTCACACAGCACAGCGCAGCGCAGCACAACGCAGCACAGCACAGCACGGCACAGCACAGCTCAGCACAGCACAGCACACAGCACATTGACACCCAGCACGTACACAGCACAGCACGACACAGCACAGCACTGCTCAGCACAAAACAGACAGCACAGCACAGCACAGCACAGCACAGCACAGCACAGCACAGTACTGCTCAGCACAGCACAGCACAGCACAGCACACGCACACACGCACACACACACACAAGCACGCAAACACACAAACACATGACACGCACACCACGCAACACATGGTCGGACACCCTGGCAGGCGTGGCACTATCTCGCCACTAGAGGGGGTGCGCACGGGGGGTCCCTCAGCGCGGTCTCTATGCGCGCCAACGTCGCAGGGCCTAGCAAACGCGGCACTTTCTCGACACCACAGGGGGTGCGCAGGGGGTGATCCCTCGGCGCGGTCTCTACACGCGCCAATGTCGCAGGGCCTCGCAAGCGTGGCACTTTCTCAACAAAACAGGGTGCGCAGGGGGTGATCCCTCGGCGCGGTCTCTATACGCGCCAATGTCGCAAGGCCTAGCAGGCGTGGCACTTTCTCAGAGAGGATGTCCGCAGGGGGTGGTCCCTCAGCGCGGTCTCTATACGCGCCAATGTCGCAGGGCCTAGCACGCGTGGCCCTGTCTCGACACCAAAGGGGGTGCGCAGGGGGTGGTCCCTCAGCGCGGTCTCTATACGCGCCAATGTCGCAGGGCCTCGCAAGCGTGGCACTTTCTCGACACCAGAGGCGATGCGCAGAGGGGTGGTCCCTCACCGCGGTTTCCATACGCGCCAGTGTCGCAGGGCCCAGCAGGCGTGGCACTTTCTCGACACCGGAGGGGGTGCGCAGCGGGTGATCCCTCGGCGCGGTCTCTATACGCGCCAATGTCGCAGGGCCTAGCACGCGTGGCATTTTCTCGACACCAGAATGGGTGCGCATGGGGTGGTCCCTCAACGCGGTCTCTATACGCGCCAATGTCGCAGGGCATAGCATGGCTGGCGATTTCTCGACACCTGAGGGGGTGCGCAGGGGGTGGTCCCTCACCTCGGCGTAGCACTTTCTCAACACCGGAGGGGGTGCGCAGGGGGTGGTCCCTCACCCCGGTGTCTATACGCGCCAGTGTCGCAAGGCCAGGGGGTGGTCCCTCAACGCGGTCTCTATACGCGCCAGTGTCGCAGGGCGTAGCATGGCTGGCGATTTCTCGACACCAGAGGCGATGCGCAGAGGGGTGGTCCCTCACCGCGGTTTCCATACGCACCAGTGTCGCAGGGCCCAGCAGGCGTGGCACTTTCTCGACACCGGAGGGGATGCCCTCAGCGCGGTCTCTATACGCGCCACTGTCGCAGGGCCTCGCAAGCGTGGCACTTTCTCGACACCAGAGGCGATGCGCAGAGGGGTGGTCCCCCACCGCGGTTTCCATACGCGCCAGTGTCGCAGGGCCCAGCAGGCGTGGCACTTTCTCGACACCGGAGGGGATGCCCTCAGCGCGGTCTCTATACGCGCCAATGTCGCAGGGCCTCGCAAGCGTGGCACTTTCTCGACACCAGAGGCGATGCGCAGAGGGGTGGTCCCTCACCACGGTTTCCATACGCACCAGTGTCGCAGGGCCCAGCAGGCGTGGCACTTTCTCGACACCGGAGGGGATGCCCTCAGCGCGGTTTCTATACGCGCCAATGTCGCAGGGCCTCGCAAGCGTGGCACTTACTCGACACCAGAGGCGATGCGCAGGGGGTGGTCCATCAGCGCGGTCTCTATACGCGCCAGTGTCGGATGGCCTAGCAGGCGTGGATCTCTATCGACGCCAGAGGGTGAAGACACGGCGGTCTGTATCCGTTGCAGGCTCGCACGGCGCAGCAGGCGTGTTATTTTCTCGACACCAGAAGGGGTGCACCGGGGGGTCGGTCTCTATGTGTTGCAGGCGCGCAGGGCACGGCAGGCGTCGCACTTGCTCGACACCACAGCGGGTGCGCTGGGGGCAGGCTCGCAGGGCACGGCAGGCGTACCACTTTCCTCTAAACCAAAAGGGGGTGCATAGGGCCGGTGGTCTCTATGCGTTGTAGGCGCGCAGGGCACGGCGTGCGAAGCGATCTCTCGACGCGAGAGGGTGCGCGCAGGGGGTGCGGCTGCTATGCGTTACTGGCGTCACCAACGGTATCTGCGGGGCAACGGCCACCAACATCAATCTTACATGCTTCACTTCACCTATCAGCACTCCAGCCATAATATATGTAACTGGGGTTCCTCGGCAGCGTAATTCTCTGGCCGCGAAAGACCCCTCATCATCATCATCCCTCCCCTCCCTCCTCCCTCTCTGCACTAGACGATGATGATGAGTGTCATGATGATGACCATGGTACCGTAAGAGTATGATATGACAATGATGGAGATGGTTAATGATGGATGACTATGATGATGATGCTGTTGCTGTTGCTGCTGCTGCTGCTGCTGCTGCTGCTGATGATGATGATGATGATGATGATGATGATGATGATGATGATGATGATGATGATGATGATGATGATGATGATGATGATGATGATGATGATGATGATGATGATGATGATGATGATGACAATGAAATGATGAAGATGTCTCGAGCGGCTTGCTGGTTTTAG